ACCATGGTTTCTGGGAGGTGATTGTTGAATGCTGTCGGGGCAGTTCATTATGGTTCAGGTGTCTCATTCATGTTGCCTATAGATGTTTTCACTTCTTAGTGGCTCGTCTAATAACAGATTGCCAGTTCAGATCCTAATTTTGCTGCTGGCTTCCAGACTGTATTTGTGCTGCATATTTATTTAAGAGATACTGCAATTTCCAGCAGAGTAGCTGTCTGGGGATTCTTAGACTCACTCCCCATCATCCCCTTAACCTATCGTTCAGGCACCTGTCCTGTAAGGGCTGTGTTCATTCTTTGAAAGACCACTGCGAAAAGGACCAGAGTCAGCCTGCAGTGTCTTGTGCAATGATATACAACTCCCAGAGAGCCACAGTGTCTGATTTCTTCAGTTTCATGCCATTTCTGCTCATAATGACCTAAAGGAGCTGATCATTAGCTTAACGGAATCAGCTTAACACTTTTCAAAGGGTCTTCGGCTGCTGATGATATAAGGAGAATATCTGCTGAATTCTGCACTTCTACATATAGTATGTAAACCTATAGTCTTGATTGCACAGTTTACATATGCCCCAAACTGCCCTGCAGACCTTAATGATAAGCTGGGTTTGACACACATTGTTTTTCCCAAGTAAATGAGTTAAAAACTGTAAATAATAATTGAGTAAACATTGAACTTTTCGAAACTTTTGAATTTGTATTAAATTTTTTTCAGACCTTACAAGACCTAATAAATACACTAAATACTAGTTAAAAAAACAAGTTAGTTCTATATATATACTGATGGGGGAAAAAAAGAAACAACACCTCCAACTCCACATTCTGGCCCTCCTGTCTGCGTGGAACAGGATGAAGAGTGACCCATCTGTGAAGAGGACCTGATGCCACTGCTGACGAGTCCGTCGCAGCCTCTGTCTGGCCCAAGCCAGTCGGGTGTGACGTCTAGGAGGTGTGAGCAGAGGGCCTCTGACTGGTCACCTTGCTCTAAGGCCAGCAGCATGGAGCCTCACTGTCCTGTCACTGATGCGGGCATTGTGTCTGCTGGCAGTTTCAGCAGCAGTATGGGGGACAGATCTGAAACGATCTCTCAGGTGGACCAGTCTGATGTGTCGGTCCTGCTCTGGTGTGGTCACTCGAGGGCGACCGGATCTTGGACGGTCATCTGTCCTGCCGGTCTGCTGAAACCTTCTCTGCAGTCGGGACACAGTGGAGCTGCTCACTCTATAGTGTCTGGCAATGCTGGCACATGACATGCCTGCCTGCAGCATGCCAATGGCCCTCTCCCTTGATTCTGGTGACATTCAAGGCCTTATGGAATGCACAGAAAACTGACTAAGTGTGGCCATTTTCTTGCAGTGACCTAAGCTTTGGATTAAGGCCTTCTTAAAGGTGACCTGATCAGGCGCTGTTCCACCTGGACCTCGTTGGGTAAAAGTGCTCCTAACGAGCTTTCGTGTGATTGGCAAGCTGCAATGCCCCACTGCACAAGCTGTATTGATGGTCAGAGGGCTTAAAACAAATTGACAACAGTTTGTGAAAGAACATCAGCTATAACATTAGTAATTCTCATTGCTGCGTTTCTTTTTTCCTTCAGTGCACTGAACGCGATCACAGAGTGAACTGGAAGAACGGCTCGTTTTGTTCAGCACCACGGACAGCCGTCGACCCTGTGCTCTACAGCTTCATCTCGGTGAATCAACTCTCTTCAGGACCAAGGACAGTTTCCTCGGTTCCCTTGTGATTTAATGCGCTTCAACCGAACACAACCAGCGCGCAAATCCCATCGTTTCAGATGCGCATTATAAGTACTGTATATAGGCAGTAATTGCGTTTACGTAATACAGTTAACGCACTAACCGTATATTGTTTTCAATACTGCAAGAACAATTATATTAACCTACTTCAGAAATGGTACAAAATAAAAGGAAATGTTGATATCGATACAGAGAATAAACAATGAACCAGAAAGTAGAAACAATCTCCGGATTTTTACTGCCCCACTTTAAAAAGCAAATTCTTCAGGATCCCCAAGACGCGTTGTAAAGGATGACGTAATCCGCGCTTGAGAGCATTACATCTGGAGGGGTGCTAAATAATTGATCGAACTGCTGGAGTGCATTCACGTCTTGTTTTTGTTCTAAACGCACTTTGAGACTTCGAAACCCACAAATAGACCACGGCCTACTAGTGTGGTAAACAGTGAAAATGATTTCTTTTACATATTTAATGTTTGCCTTCCTAGCAGGCTTACAATATCAATCATGGTTTTATATAGCTGCTATTATTTTAAAGACGATAAAGCTCTATATTCAATGGTGATTTTGCAAGTATATTGAAAATCTGGATTGTAAAGCACAACTTACTGTGAAGCACAACTTAGTTGATTGTAATTAGCTTTGTGCTACTGTACATCAAAAGTGAATCATTGATTTGTCTTTCACAAGTGTGAGAAGAAGGGATGATCATTTTTTCTAAATCTCCATGCGAGCCCTGTTACTGCTGTTACGTTCTGTTGTTTTTTTACTCTCCTCCCGTGCGGGGGTCCATTGCTGGAGGTGGGTGTGTCCCTCAATAGGGTATCTCTCTGGATTGGTTGAAGAGAACGGTCCGGTTTTAAATGTCTGGAGAGAGGGTGGGGAAGAGAGTTAGAAGCAGAAACGGCGAGAACGCGAGACGTATCGGATTGGTTTTCCTGGCTGTGGTGTAGGGTTGGGATTGTTGTGGCTTCCATGTTTTTTTTTCCCACTTTTCCGTTATAGCTTATTTCAGATAGAGTAGACAGATATCTTGGGAAGGCTTTGCTTTGGCTTTGCCACCCCTTTCTCGGGAGACAGGTTTAGAGGGTACTGGGTTGTAGAATAGTGTAATTCGTGTTTTTTTTTTTGTTTTGTTGGTGTATTTCCGTCCGTTAAACCCTGGCTCATGTGTTAGTCCCCGTTCATCCCTAGACTGAGCCATATTGGGGACTTAACACTGGTAATCCATTTAAGACTCCCCCTCCTCCTTGTAAAGAATCAAGACCGATCATTTTTCAATCCAAAAAGGTTCGGCCTCTACTACAAAAATGGTTCTTCAACAGTGGGAGACGACAAATTCCAGGGCTGTTCCAGACGTGTTCCTCCATTGCTCCACCCATTGTCTAACCAACTTATCCAATGCAGGGTTGTGGGGGACAACAAGCAACAGGTGTGAGACAGGATATTCCCTGGACAGGCCGCCAGTCCATCCTAGGGCACACACTCACACCAGGGTCAGTTTTCCCAGAAGACAATTATTCTCCACACTGAACAAGCGCTGGAAGGGACTGTGGGTCCTGTACAGGGACTGAGGAGGAAAACCCTGTTCCCTTGAGGAGGACCGGATGACCGCAGTTTCAGAGCCAGGACAAGAACAAAAAAGGCACGGACATCAGCAAGCGACGGGGCCTGGAGGGACTCTCTCATTGTGCAAATCCAGCCCCAGCATCCACTTGTTCGGACTGAGAAAAGACATCCACCCTTTTAAGAAAGTTTGTAACATTGTAGAGGTTGCATGAGTTGTTAGAGTATGTCCTCACTGGAAAATGCCTACGTGGAATAACATTTGTTTTGCTAGAAAAAAAAAATCAGACCATGGGAGCCCATGTTAACTGAGCACTGAGAGGCAGCAATGAGCCACCCTCATGTTTAATCAGTCCTGGAGGGTCAGAGGGTTTCTGTTTTTCCTCCCACATGAGCCTTTAATGACCTAATTGAGCTCATTATTTGCTTAAATAGAGAAGTTGAATTATTTCCTTGCTCTTAAGAGGCTGGAGATTTAGAGAACTATAAATGAGCTGGACTGCAGCCATTGAGGACTGGTATATAGATGGTACAACCTGCCAGGGATCCAATATTGTAAAACAGGGAGCTTTTGTCCACATTCTCTATATTATGCACACATGCAAGTGTAATGTCGTGTTACAAGACATCAAAATTACAAAACATATGTGTTCTCACCTTAAATCTTCCATGGCTCCAGGCTGTAGGTGCTGTACTTGGCAGTAGGTGTTGCCAATCTCTTTAATTCATTACCTACTTGAGATGAACGTGCCAAGTGCTGTCATTGAACAATTATGTCAATAGGGTGATTGAGGTGAAATTCAAGAACAACCTAGAGCAAGATATTGACTGCTGAGAGTCTTGCTAGGCTCTCAGTTGTTAAATTAAACCCTTTATACCAACATATAAAACAATAGATACAACTGAAAAAGATAGTTCAATATAAATACTGTATAGCCTTTATATACTGTAGCTGAGTAGGTTCTATTGGTAAGAGATTGCATGTTTATTCAGAAGTTGTATACATTGTATACATTTTTTGTACTTTTTTGGACAACTCCTATGGCATGCACGTTGCTGAAGTTTATGGTATTGCAGGGGTTTGGGAAAGTGAAGGCACTGAATTGATTTTAACCAGCAGGCTGGATAATTTCATTTGTTTCAGCACTTTGCTTCTCCCTTAGAGCAGCTGATTTCACCTTGGATAAAACAGGCTTCCCAGCAAAACACCTTTACCTGTAGTTTTTATTTGGATACGTGGAGTCCAGATTGCAGGAGTGACTCACCCTGCTACAGACTAACTGTATTGTTTGCATGATTGACTCAAAGGCAGGAGGAAATACAGTCCCTATTTTCTGGTTTCTACCACCAACCAAACAATAAGTTTTCAACATTTATGACCTGTGGAGATTCTTCAAACTGGACTGGCAACTGTCAAGCTCCAACCAGACTTTATTCCTCTGAACTAATAACCATAATGCCTCAATTAGATCTCAATGCAACAATTCAACAGTTCATCACCGAATAAATGTTGGATTTTAAAATACAATACTTTTGAAATCTAAACGTTCCATAATTAAATAAATACAGACATCTTGATATGCAAACAAGTTGATATGCAAACGTAACGAAATAGTTAATATCTTGTATGTTATATAACGTGGTAAATGTTAGTCATATTTTTACGTCCTAGTGCCTGTCAGTCCGGAGCTATGTTAACAGCTACAGTACATGTTTATCCAATCCGATCTCGACATTTCAGCTACAGGCACATCAGAACAGAGAGCGAAAGCTCAAGAGAGCTACACTCAATCAGAAATCCCCTGGAATGAAAACTACCCCTTCGGTATTACAAACCTTGCAAGTGTTTTAGTTTTTAGAAAAAAATATAATTAAAGAGGTGATCAGAGTTGTTAAAACATCTTGAAGACGAAGGATAGCCACCTTAACCTTTGGGGACGGTGCTGGAAGAAATCTCTACACTTATCACAGAAAGGCAAGTAGGATATTTATAGACGGTATATGAAAATTGACGATGTCTTTAGAGCATGTTCGCATATAATAATACAAACAGGTTAAATGCTTTACGTACTGTCTAGATACTGAAAAGGATAAGTAACCGAACAAATGTTTTAGAATAAGTAGAATACGCTGTGTATCGGTACCATTTTTGGTTCTACGGATTTTCCATACAAAACTGATACCTCAGAATTGTAATTAATTGTAATTAATTTGTTCCGATAATACTCAAGATTTTAGTTTCTGTCTATTGCCATCAAATTCCAACAATTTCAACAGTATAGAATAAAAACACGTTGATCTTAACATGGATGGTGAAAAGAGTTCTCGTTCAAAGCAAATGGTTGATTTTAGTCTTCCTACAGTAGATTCGCATAAAGTCGCTTAAATCCAGTCGCATCAAATAAGAGCGAAAGATTTGCAATTCTTTAGATAGCCTGCCCATCTTCCATTTTGTTTTCAGTCACGTATAATAAATTATAGATTAGCAATAAAATGTTTTTTCTTTTTTAATTTTCCATTATGTTTTAATGGTAACGAATCACATTTTGAGAATTATTTGGCAGCTAATTACATTTTAAACTTACACTGGCCATAATAATTGAATTATGAAACCCTCAAGACCCACCAGTTATATATTTGTATATTAAAGAACACAGGGGTTGTAAAACTAGTGATACTGATGACTACTGGGGTCAGATTTTGCACTGGATTTGTATTAACATTTAATAAACATTTCCAAGTATACATTTATCCAATATAATTAACCTAGGTTAATGGAAGAAATATACCCAATCTAAAATTATGCACAGATCAATTCACACTTCCCCTGTATACAGTACCATTGTTATTTTCATGAAGGCTCAGTTCAGGGTTGCTAATGAGTGTAATCACGTAACTCCATTAATGTTAATATTGGGATAATGCTAATGGAACTACTGGCACATCAATTGCTGAACCATTAGCAAATTAGTGTGGTGGAAGACTATCCAACTATTATATGACTATTCAAAGACCTTTTGAGTATCACCAACAGTCTTAAAGACTATCAGCCCTACACGCTTTGAACGGATGGAGCATGATGACTCTGAGATGGTAGATGTTGGACATGACTTTCTGCAGACGTTTTCTTGGGTCTGACAGCCCTTCCAGCACAGTGTTACACATGCCTGTGTGAGGAAAGCATGCAGTAAATGCAGGATCCGAACCCTGAGGGACTACAGGTGGAAAACTATACCCTGATAATTCATTCTGAAATATGCTGGAAGGCTTCTGATTCGACTAGCTGGGCTTCCACAGGTCCAAATGCCGTATAGGAGATTCTTAGACTCTGAGGATTTTGTTTTGGATAAGCCACCTTTGTAGGCAAGGGGTACAACAAAATACATTTAAAAGATAGTTTTCTACTTCTGTGGCTCTCTCTCAAACTGCATAAAGCTCCAACATTTCTTCCAGCCTTTCCTGCCAAACAAACTAGACTTCCACACGTCTGAATTTCCACATTTGTGTACAGTATGTAACTCACTTTTCCCAAGCACACTTGTTCTTGTTTTAAAGCTAATAATTGTAGTATAAGTACTTCATAATAATTCCCATGAATAATTCATATTGAAGTGTAAAAACTCCTTAGTATTTCCATAATGCCAATACAAATTTCAGAATGTATGCCTGTGGACTTATTCCATTAGTGTTGTACATGGAGTACTTTTCTGTTGCTAAGTCTGTTGCTAGGCATGTTTTGTGGCTCTGCAGAGCCTAATCCGAGACATGTTCAAGAGCTGCTCTCCTGATGTACATGAGTCTTTTTGGACCTAATAGTTTTATCATTTCTGTGCGCAGTACTAAAAAATGTAAGTTTCCTGTAAGATTTGTTATTCACATTTTCCAGTGTATTCTTTGTTATGTGTGATAAAGAACAATGAAAAAGAATAATTTTCATATGTATCACAAAGATGACATTATCAATAATGATATATTCCAGTAATGGTTTTGGAAATGCAATGTTTTATGGTATGTCATGCATAAGAAGGTATGAAAAGGTATAATATATTCCTAATAATTTAAAGCACCTTGGCCTTGAATAAATCAGTTATCAACAGGATTAAAAGTTTTAATTGAAGCTAAAAAATATTTTACATATTCCCAAATACTATATTTATAGCTTTCTTTTTTTGAGGTGGCGAAGGTAAAAAACGAATTATGTCAGATTAAATCTTCTGAAGCACGTACAGTACATGGAAGAGACTTGAATCTTCAGTCAGGTAGCCCACTGGAATAGCTGAGAGCTGCTGCTTAGCACTTGGATTAGACTCCAGCCTGGGGACCCTTGTGTGTAGAGTTTGCATTGTTTTCATCATGCTCTTGTGGTTCAGATTCAAAGCACAGGCTGTCTAGGTTCATGGGTGTCTCTAACTGGCCAGCCTCGAACATGTGGGATTGAATGTGTGTTTGTGGCCTTTGATGAACAGGTGTTCCTTCTCGGCTGTTATCTCACCTTGTGCCTTTTGCCTGCTAGTTCAGCCTCTGGCTCACACTTACCCTCTGAGGATAAACCCGTTACTGAATATGATGGATGTGATGGATGGAGGAATATTCAGTCTTGAACCATAGTTATAATGCAGGCTGCTTTCGTCTCCTAGACAATTATACACCTGTTACTTTGCATATACAAAAACAAACAGTGCAAAAGTCTGCAAAAGCCCCAAATTAACAAGATGTTTGCCCTAAATATTACTTGAATATTACTGAACATAGTTTCAATTTACATTTAGATATAAGATTTAGTCATTTTAAAGCTATAAATCCTTTCCAAGAACTGACACATACATTCAAAAAGATTTTGATGATTCCTCTAACCTCTACATTGGCCGTACTGTACTGCAGTTTTCAGTAGCTCAGTAGTTTTTATTCAAGTCAGTCCAAATTTCCTATTTCCTCTTTCACCTCAGAAGAAAATGTCTTGGTAATATGAATTTGGGACACTGGGCATAAAGTACATTCATGCCAAGATCAACACTTGTTTGCGTAGAGGGCAAAATGTTTTTTAGGAATAATAAATACAGCATAGCACATAAGTCATGATCTAAGACATTGAAAGCAAGTCCACTGAAGTGAACTCCCCACGGAAGTCACTGACATCATTTTCCATCAAAGAGCAGAAATGACTGTTCTTACTTACAGTACATAACCACACCCCTTAGAAATATGAAAAGACTTTACAGAACACACAGTACATTGAAAGATCATGACATTACAAGATGGAAAATGGAGGGTGTTGATACAAAATGCATGCATACACTACTGAAAGACTCAAGATCTCAAATGAAATATTGAGAAAACACAATGGAATTTCGCTACACATTTTAACACAAAATAAAAATACATTATAAATAATGTTAACAGTGTACAGTCGTTAGTGTAGTAACAATGGCTACATACAAAAAACATATTTTTAAGATGTAAGCTATAACATATCTGCTAGACAGCCTTTCACTTACTGATTTCATGTCAGGAAATACCAAGATGATAACCTTGAACTGGATGAGAAATCAATGGTTACAAAAATGTTTGCTAAACTTTTTCTTTGCAAAAAAGCTTTGTAATGCAGATGTCAGCCAACTTATACATTTTAGTAATAAAGAACACAGTCCAATCTCTGGGCAAAATTATTGATCTACAACATGTAATCTTGTGTTTAACCACTCAAAGTCCTCCTGCTATCCTGCTTTTTATTCCTACCAAGCTTTCCATCATTTAATTAAACCAGATTAAAATTACTTTGACCTCTAACCATGGACTGAAGACATTTAAAATCCTGAAAAAATCCTTGAATGATTAGGGCACAGCAGACTGAGAAATCATTTATCCAGCTAATGACACAGTCTCTTGGGTTTAGTTTGTCCTTTTGTGTAGACACTTGTCTAATAACTACAGGCTCTGTGAAATCATGTGCAAGAGAGTGATGGACAGCAGCATGGATGAGATGCTTTTTTTCTAACAGGCTTTTCGAGATCATAAGGAGGACGTTTTTCAACGCAAACATTTAAATCCTTTTTATCTCCGTTTTTTACAATTAACATCTCCCTTTTGATTCATAGACATATTCAGTAAGTTTGGCTGGATGCAGCACTGGGCTGCATGTATATACTGTAGTCTGTAAAGCACAGTCAGAATTTGACCTCTCCAAGGCCCTGTGTAATACTAACTTCAGAGGTCTCCCCAATCATCAACTAATTTATACCTGCTAAGTCTTGTTTTTTGTATTATGTTTTTCAAAATCTCACTTTTATTTATAGACCAGCAGCATATTCAATTACATTTCATGCATAAGACACTGTTTGTTGGTATGTGTTGCAGAGTTAATAACTTACAAAAGTGTACTAAACTACAATACTTTGATTTTTCTGGAGTATTTCAGAGCAAAATCACATATATTACAATTTGGGCCAGAGATGAATTTGTTGAAAATACAGTATTCAGGAATATCGGTGAGAATCTGCATTTCGATTTCTTCACCTCAAACAACAAGTTGATGCAAAACGTAGGAGGTGGAGTCGTATGCTTTAGCAGCTTTGAAGTCACGGATTTAGATTAATCACTCTTGCTGTCTCATGCTCAGTCAATGTCAAGATATTCCCCAAAGCACTGGGAAATCCAGTTAGCACAAGTGTGATTTTCTTGAAAAACAAAAACTTTCTTCTAGGGGCCATACCCTGGTCCAGCCGATCCCTAAATGGTGGACAGTCAGCCAATTACACAGACCAGTCCTGGATAGGTGATGTCTAAACTATGAAGCTTGAACAGCACTTTGAACAGGCAACCTGCCCAGTATGAGCAAGCCACCAACCACCCACCTGAATTCCCCTGGGTTCCCTTGTCCTTTCATTTTCATTTAATTAATTAGCAAGGTGCAAGAACTTCAAGATGGGCTCCTACAAAGGAGGCTGTTTTTATGTCAGATGTTTGTCCAATAAAAAAAGCAATCATATTGTACAAAGCCTACAGCTCTGCCATAAAATTCCATTTTCACTGCAGTGAAGTGTTTCAATCGCAGAACGAATTTCACAGTGGAGGCATGCTTTGATCGCCACACAGAAGCCAGAATATAATGCCAGTGTTCTGTCAAGACAGTGCCAATGTGTAAAAACCAACAGCAATAGCTGCTAGGCGGCTCAGTGGGACTCATTTGCTAATGACAGGGTAGATGGTTATATCCCTTTCTGTTTCCAAGGTGATGGGTTGGATCTCTATTTCATTCTCTCACTCGGCCACAGAGACTACAGAATCGTCGGCGCTGAGCTCTGATTTGACACCTGTGGTCAGCCTCTGCAATAATTACTGATCATTAAAAACGCTGAAATGCCCAGAGATTTGGGTTCTGTAGCACAAATTGTAAGAATATGTGCTATCAAGTTATGAATCTAAATTTTCAATTATCTAAATATTTGAGGGCCTTGAACCGCGTAGATTAATTCTCAAAAGAATTAAATGGAGAGAAAAAACAGATAGTCCGGCTTTTTAGAGAAAGCATGGATGTATCAGTGGTGGAATAAACTCCAGAAGATCCCGTTCCTTTGTTAGTACTGAAGCCCATTTCTGCCATAGAGAATAGAAGGATTTATTTTTCATTTTTTTTAATATGATTCAATCTGAAAAATCAGTTGAGATATTTCATTTAAGGACTGCAGTTGATTTACCCCAAAAAACACTTTGGATTGTCAAGGTCAGCAGTAATTTTCCACTGCTGTTAATGTCTTGCAAAAATAAAAGTATTTAACATTGAAACTTATAGTTAAAAATGAAATAAATACAATATTTATTACTTCACTTACATTAGCTGTTTTATTCATAGATATTAGCAATTATATTTTGATATACCTGTATCTATTTTTATGGTATTTATATGTAATTTGTAATATAAGTATTTCAAAAGTAAATATTGATCAAGAATTCTCTTTCTATAATGTTAGTAATCACAGGTTTTGTTAATAAGGAAATTCAAAACTGGGAATTAAAAATTACAATGACCAACACCATACATTATGACTTAAACCCCTACACCCTGGGACGGGACACTGTAAGGTAAACTATCCACAATGTTAACAAAGATGTACATTTTAATGAATAATACTGTCGCTTTGCAGCAGTTAGGTTTTTGTTTTTTAAACATGTATGTATTTCCTAACCACTTTATCCCGTTCAGTGTCTGCAGGGAGCCTGTCACAGGGAAACCAGGAGCACAAGGCAGGAGACACTCTGGACAGGACGCCAGTGTCACAGGGTACACACAGACAGACACAGACCAGGGCCAATGCTCCCAGAAGCCGATTAACCTACTAGTATGTCTTTGGACTGTGGGAGGAACCAGGAGCACCTGAACAGGGGGGAAACATACAGTACTAACCCCAGTACCCCAGGTCTGCTGTTGAACCCAAGTGCAACAATTCTAACAACCAAACTACCATGTCACCCTTTAATAAAAAAGCATGACAAAATTCCAATGCAATATGTTTAAAATCTAGGCCCAATTAACGTATTTAAAAGGTCATTTCAAGGGGCGGTGGTAACAGATACATTAATTCCGCGTTTATGACAAACTATGCTCTTGTAGGCTACATGGACAGGCATGGAAAGGGCAGGAAAGATCTTGTCCACAGCTAGTACCTGAAGGATGCTGCTGGAGTCACTGACGAGGAGCTTGCAGTGAATTATCTGATCTGACAGCACTCTGGCAGATCTGACTCCCGCTCTGAAGTGTTTCGGAAGGAATGTCATTTTCCATCTGCATCTGCAATGTCGTTCTTGGGTTTACAATGCTGTAGCCGCGCGAAGACAGACAATTCCTTTCTTTTTTCGTTAGGCTGTTTGCAGCGTTGCCCCAGTGCAAGGCACTCAGTACAGTGCGCTCTGAGCTTTTCCAGCTCGTATATTTCCAGTGCCACGTGTCTCCGCAGCACAGTACCGCAGTCGTATGAGCTCTCGTTTTTCTCTCATCACAGGTTGGGGAGAAGTGCTGTTTCAAGCAGAATGGGACCTTTCCAGGAATACGAGGTGCTTGTGTAGTCTTTTCATTACTTCGGGACAAGCAATGTTCTGAGCACTTAGCCCTAGGACAATGTAGGGGAATATCTCACCCGTGCAAACGGATCTTTTGCACCGTCTTTCATTTCTCTGTTAAGTTTGAATGGCATTTATATTGATGGTACGTATGAGCCACTTAATTGTGTTTATTCCACAGCTGAGCTCTGTGCAGTCTTTATTTAAACGTGCGTTTTAATTTAGTTCCCATTTAAACGCTGCCTGCTGTTAAACGCTTTGTACTTCGAGGTACTGTTAACTACTGTCCAGTAAGTCCCTGCGGCTGAAAGCAATACTGCAAAATTTATGTTGCTGTGATGCGCAAACTGTCGCTGCTAGTTAAGCTTGGTGCTGGGTTGCGGTGCTGAGCGGACTCTCATGCATGTTGTACGTAATGCTGTCGGAATCGCTATTTCCTGGCGAATAATTGCTCGCTGTGTTTCGGTTTTAAGGAACCGAAGTCGCAGGGGAAAGAAAACTACCGCAGTCGGATCCCTCGTCTGGTTCTCCGCCCGTTCCGCCCCAAGCCAAAGGAATCGCCGTTGTCAGAGTCACCATTTTATGGAGAGGAGAGCAAGGACTGCGACCTCAGTCCCGACCATTCTAGAAGAACTATCAGTAGTAACAGTTTTTGCTCAGGTAAACTGTTAATAGTTCTTACATCTAACCGGCCATATGGTCAGTTGTGCATTGATCTCGGGTGCACGCTGTCGAAACATTAAATGATGTTCCGTCTAGTTCGTTGTGAACCGATTCACGGAGGAGTTATTGAGGAAGGGAGTGGAATACTGCCAGACATGGCACATTGCATCATCCTGACTGTCCCATTCTGTACAGAAGATATGGAGCACTTTAATTCCTTCATCCTGTTTTTTTTTTCCCCCATGTATTTGCAGTAGTTCACTCCTCTTGGGAACTCCTCAACTCCTGGGTTTGTTTGTTGTTGTTTTGTTTTTTTTACCATATCGTTTAAAAAAAAAACACCATATGATTGTAAACTGTCCTTACCTCTCTTTTGTTTTTGGAAGTTTGTGTTTAAAACGAAATCTAAAAAAAAAAACCCAAACTTTTAGGTCGTTATTGCAACCTTACGGCAAAAAAGCTAAAGTATATCATTTAGATGTCTGAGTTTGGTTGATCTGGATAGCTAAGTAACACTTCACCTATGATGCCTTCCATAAGTACTGGGACAGAGAAGTCAAAATTGCTATTTCTGGTGTTTACTATATAGACAACAAGGGAACAGGACACACCTGGATAATAAGAAACACATGGCACCCAATTCTCTCAATATTAACGATCACTTGAAATGGAGGGGATGAAATACAAAAAGTGTTATTATTCTAAAATGTCCAGAAATAAAAGGTGATATTCTGTACTTCTGCCTCATATTCATCTTTTCATCTCAAATCGGAATTGCTTGGGTTTAGAGCTAAAAATAGCAATTTTGACTTCAATGTCCCAATATGTCTGGTGGGCTCTGTAATCCACTTTTTATTTCTGCTCCGTTAGCAATGCTTGTGAGAAGAAGGAACTCCTACTTAACAAGGCTGGAATGGCAGCTCACATTATGTGAGCTGTTAAGAACATGCAGAGGTTAATCCCATCTACGCTGAAAGATCGAAAGAGTAGAATACACTTGACAAAGACTCCACGGGTAAAATGTAACGTGTTTTAATCTTTCGTTCTACTTTTCAGCGTAGATGGAATTAACATTGCTTGTTCCTTTGCAGTCCTTGTCTAAATTTGCTCTTTTAACCCCTCTGTGATCTGATGACACCCGGCTCCAAAACGAGACGCTTTGTGGTGAAAGAAAAGGATGATTTCTGAAGTACTAAGAGAAGGTGCCTGAATGTTTAGACAAATTGACATACTCCACCATAGACATACTGTAAATGAGATATTATAGCAAAAGTTTTCCTTCCTATGTTACGGACATAAAAAGTAATACTAGATGTTAAAGACTGGGAGATAAGACAACCCATGCGTCACACCAGCAATCTGGCTTTCTTGTCAAGATTTTTGTAATTAGACCATTTGTCCTATTTTTTGTTTAACATTCACCTACCTTTCTCATCACCTCTGGCTACCTTGTCCTTCAGGCCAAGCTGTCAGCCTGGAGTCAAGGCAGTCTGAGAAAGTCATTAATTACGTTCATGCACCTAATAATAAGTTACTGTGTTGTGGAAGTGTTGTCTGTCTGCTGATGAAATACTGTTTTTGGTAAAGAAACGTAGCCTTGTAATCATCCTCGAAGTGTAGATCTGTGGTGAAGCAAGTGGTTGACTAAACCCTTCATTATCCTGCTGCACAGTTAAACATGTTTTTGTTCTCCTGTTCCCATCTCAGTTTGAGAGGGACATTTTGGAAATGGGGGCCGTGCGCTTGCTTGGGAAATTTGTAGTTGCATCCTTATAAAGTGACGGATCCCGTGATCGTTTGTCGACAACATGAACAGAGCAAGAAACAACCGTTCGCTGACAGATGTGTTCCTTCATTCTTTTCCGAACCACCGCCGATTGTTCCTGCCCTAGATGACACCGGTTGCCCAAGCAGTCAGTCAGCATCCCCTTCGAAAAGTCCTTCAGGCTCAGAAAGCAGCCCGGTAGGGCTACCTTCCCCACTCGAAGACAAAGAAGATGTGAAAAGGACCAAAACGAACGTCATGGCGGAGTGGAATGTACCCCCAGTTCGGCACAAGAGGGAGCCTAGGTCATGCCCTTTGCAGAGAGGTGAGTCGTACCTGCTTTCATTGATATCGCACAGTTGACTACAGAACGTTCTGACCCCATGGATAGTGCGTTTAGTCGGCAGCGTGTTTCTGGATTGCTGCGACACTGAGAGCACGATTGGTCTGTATATAAAAAGGCATTTTCAATCTTGTGTTACACATGTGAACTGGTGATTTATATTACCCTACGAAAGTACACACGTAAAAACGAGACAGGGAATAGCTCTCGCAATTAACTTGTAGAGTAACTTTCTCCAGTTTGTTCCAATTAGAACAAAACGATGCAGACTGAACCCTGTACACACAATGCGAGCCATAATCATAACCTGTGGCTGAAAGTGTTGTCTGAAGGTTTTAATAATTCTGGATTATGCACATTCAGTGCATGCATGACAGTTGGTTTCCTGTCAGTTGTTTCTTGAGTGTGGTTATGAAAACTCTCTGCCTCCAGGAGTTAATTCAATGGGTGCAGAGTTTCTATTGAGTGCGGTGAGACTGAAGCTCCCAAGGACAGGGCATAAATACTGGACACAGTATTCTGGCTGAATGAGGGAGTTTAAGGACATTGAACATAAATCCCAAGATATGTCTTCAGCGAAAACTGGGGGGAACAGCAGACATTTCTTCTCTCACAAATTCCATTCATGAGAAAGGTACATATCCTCTAGATCTTCTTTAGATCTAGAAATTCTCTAGATCTTTTTTGCACCGATCTTAGAGGATTGGCTGTGTGCCCCACAAACAGTTCACATTTTTTTTTAAATGTTTTTTTTCCTGAACAAAGTATACGGTAAACCCTAAATGGTTGTCTTGTGTCACATATCCAGTGTATAAAATGCCTGTGTACAGCATGTGTTTCTGTGAGTAAAAGAATACCGGTAAGTAATGAAAAATAAAGCCCCCCTCAAATTTTTATTTCCTTTTTTTTCCCTGTGTGTCCTACCTTAGTCCAATAAAGTCTTTTAAAATTGTTGGCTTTGTGAGGGAGAGCACTCTGTGACAAACTGGTGTGTTTTCATTTGCTAACTGCATACATTTTTAATGCTGTGTATCAGCTAATATTATTAGATGCATGATGAATCTGTGTTTTATTTTTTATTTCTTGTTTTCTGCATTGTAGGGTACTTATATGCTTATTCAACACTGCAGTGTAGATTTGTTTTACACAAATACTTGTGAATCCTGAAGAAGCTATATATGTGCATTTCTGTTTTTTCACAGTTTTATGAAAATAGATGTAAATTATAATTGTGAGCAGCTGACAACATGTTTCTCTTCAAATACAAATGTGTTGTTCAAGCAGCTGGGTATTAATGGTTGATAGAAGGTGTAGCAGCTGTGGATTGCTAGTACACAGGTTCACATTGTAACAGATGGATCAGGCGCTATTTGTTTTAATTGATATTAAAGTGGTGGAACTTGATTATACAGCAAATTCAAACAAAAAACACCATAACCTAAAGAGGTTGATATTCTGTAATCCGTCATAACTTAAAAATACAAGAGTTTTTCTTCCTTTTTAGAATATTAGTTGATTTTAAGTTTAATTGAAGGCTTAATTAAACAAAGAGTAATTATAGATGTAAATCTCCATTTGATAGAGCCCTGATTTACCATAGCTGGGTAGCAGTTCTTTTCAGTTGTGATCTGACTTACCTGTGCAGAGCTTTGTGCTTTTTACACTGTTTGGCTGTTAATAATCTGTGATTTTGCTAACCATTATGGTACTGGCAAAGGCAAATGATCGTCCTTTTGGTAAGTTCTAAAGGCTTACATGTTTTTTTCTTTCTAGAGACAAACTTCTTGCCATCATAGTGGTATTGGTAGAATGTGCATGTTTTGTTGTTTAAAATTGAGCAAATGTTTTGTTGTGATACTTAATAGCTCTTGACATGTTTTTGAATCTGGTCTCTGTGTTTTCTAGGGATATTTTCCAGGTAGTCCTGTTTTCTTTAACTTTCCAAAAACATGCTAGCTAGGTTAACTTGTCTAAAGTGTGTGTGTTTGTGTGCCCTACAATAGATAGGTATCCACTATTTCGTTAGTCTATCCAAGCACTACCAGAGTAGACTGCCTTGTTGTGTTCCTTACCAAGAATATTTCGCTTTCTGATAAAAGATGGATGGCCTAGTTTGGTGAACTTAATACGCAAGAAAGGGAGCCAAAGGATAAGAATTATTATAATAATACATGTGGTTGATAGCCTTTAAGTTATCAGTCAGTGCAGGGAATCATTTTTGCATCGTGAAGGACTGTTTTAGAGTGTCTGTTAATCTATGATAGGGCATCTGGCTTTTAGATGGAAATAGTTATGCTGTGTTTAGTATCTTCCATGTCACTGGGGAAACTGGGCTGGGACTGAGAGATCCAACTGGGACAAATGTTGCTTTGGGAGAGAACTTTACTTATTCAGCTTCTCTTGATCCTTGTTGATTCTGTTTCTCAAAATAGCCTCTGCATCTGCATCTTCCTATCCTACCCATAAATAACTCTGTGGATACACCATAAACGCCTGCAGATTTTTTTTTTCAGGCTTTCAATTTGCCCGTTTATGTTATTAACGCATTTAAGATTCCTGGACTTTGGCTCCAATCATGCTGCATTGTCAAGAAGTTTGAAACTGGCTTTAAATCAATTTCTTCTCTGTAAGAAACTGGAGAGCAGCAGTTAGCATAGGTAGAACATCGTGCTAAGTCGGAGGTATCGTAGTTTAGAAAATAAAAATGATCAAAGCCTTGGGACATTTACATGACTTTTATAATTGTGACAGGCTTGACATTGCAATTTTGTTTTTATTTAATTATGGCATTTTAATGCATATGCCGTGCTCTTGCTTTAAAACTTAATTTTTGCTTTCAAATACTAGAGGGAAAGCATTAGTTGTTAACCAAGCTGTAATTTCACTCTGGAAATGTTTAAAATGAGCGAGTATACACTCAACACTCCAAAATCCTTTCAAAATGCATTTGTTCCTTCTGTGATACACTTCATTACATGCGATTTTTTTTTTTATATTCATCCTTTATACTAAAATGGAATCTGTGCTAGATGTTTTCCTTTTACTGTTCCAAAACAGTTTTCTGTAAAACATAAAAAGAAAAAGTTGTTTCAATGTATTTTCCTCTTTTAGTTGCTCACTATTACTTTGCATTACTTTTTAATTTTTCATACAATATTTTTGATCTAGAAAGCTTTTACAAATTCCATGTTTCAAATCTGGGGCGTCATAATTTAATGAGAGATCACAGGTTAATTGGCTGGTACTTTAAATAAGGCTCTGATATAACACCATAGCTGTCAGAGGAACTGTAAAGGGATATTATACTGTAGTAAAAAGATGTTAATGCACTCTGGAATTCATTATTTTACTATTTGTTATGAACAGCGAAGGTTGTGCCCATTGTGGCTAACTATCAGCCAATATAATAACAAAAAAACAGCGCTTGTGCCTTTTAAAAACATTATTTAATGTGATGAACGTCCTCCCATTGAATTAAGGGTATATTTTTCTTTATTGGGACATTCAGAAAAGATTATTGATTGGTGTATGTTTTACCATGAGATGTACAGTAAAAGTGGCTCTGTGTATGGACATCTGTAAAATGTATCAAAAAGAATACTGATATCAGATAGCGTGCCTTTTTAAAAACATAATCTGTTAAGATTTAAGTGAACACTGCTATGGGTATTTATTTAAAGGACAGAAATATGCGATGGATTACTTAAATATCTTTATTAGTTAGTACTTTTGACTGCTTCACAGGCAGTGAAGCGGACTTCAGTTCATCGAGCAGTGCAGGCAGTATTACCGCGCGAGAGACCCCGACTACAGGACTCAAAAAACCAGCTTTCACACGCAGGTAGGTTACTGGGTCTGAGGACCGATTCCCTATCCCGAATACGAGAGATGCAATTCAGGATTGCTGTAAATTGATGCTG